CATGGCAAAAAATGAAGAAAATCTAATCCTAAATTAACATAACCAAACTAAAAAAAAACGCTCCTCCTAACAACAGTAAACACCAACGTCCGTCAGTTATAACGGTTCCTAAGCATTAACGTCGGGCTGTTATAACCGTTGCAGAGGTTATAAAAAAAGATCAAGCCCACCACAAATAAGTACATCCTCAAGAGAAACAAAAACACCACAACACTACGAAAACATTGACCAATCATCATATACCCACAGAACATCTCAAATGGCCCATAAAAAGTTGCCGTTTATACTACCTGTTGATCACAGAGGACAGTGTATCTCTGGCAAGAGCTCGTTTATTCTGAGCCGCGCATGCCCAGAGCCAGGAGACTCGTTCTCCCTGTTAGACCCACAGCGGCACGAGAGCGCCCCCACTGGCAAGACATATGCACATGACAAATATGTCTACAATGAACAATAAAAATATTAATAATAAAAAAAACAAAAGACAAGACCAATTCTGATTGAAAAAAGGGTGTATTCATCTTTTTTTTTTTTTACTGTTTCTCAACACACTACAGGTACACCATGGCCCAATGACTGCCTTGCCAGACCATCACAGAAAGACACTTAGGACAAACGACCAAAGCACAATGTGGAGAGACCAGTTAACCAACAGTTAGAGGAATGCTTAACTTGAACATGTTGCCACGGTTATCCTGGACATATCTACAGAGACAAAATTATGTTTGGGACATTTATGAGCCGCTTGCATTTTGAAAAAATTCTATGAAAATGTGTGGCTGTCACTGACCCAGTCTTGATGGAGTGAGCTTTTCACAACTTTATGTCTCACTACATTCTGCACTGTAGAAACCAGGAATGCAGTACACGCCGACTGATTTTCAGTCTCAGGTTCATCTTAGCTACCATAAAGTCCATTTCTTAATGTAATGTCAGTAAACAGGGTGCCAAACAGAAAAGAAGTTGTCTGTTAAACATGTTTCTTATTTAAAATGATGTTGACTTTTCAGACAGCCAGGTGCTGAAGGATGTTCGCAGAGTGGTTGGAGATGACGCCTACACACCGCAGAACCCAAAGGAGTTGTGTGCTCGCCTCTTTACCACCTGTTACATGGCCAGTGAAAATTCCTCCCAGGATACATGCAGCAGAGCCAGGGACCTGGCTGGGGAGATTGGAAGGTAGACTTTCATCAAAATGTTGAATTTTATCTTTTATATTTTGAACTCCAACTTTGAATAACACACAAACACTTGTATCTGAGAGCAATGTCTGAGAGATTGTCTGTACAGTTCAACTTAATTTTCTGAGGAAGGAAAGTTGTTCTTCATAAAGGTTTCTGTTTTTCTTCTTTTTCATGTCTTTCTCGTAGCACACATGTGAATATTAACATAGATGTGGCTGTCAAAGGCATTCTGGGTATCTTTTCAGTGGTAACTGGACGGTGGCCACAGTTTCGTGCAAATGGTGGAAGCAACAGAGAGAACCTGGCTCTGCAGAATGTGCAGGTGAGACCTCTCCTCATGCTCTGTCTCTCATTATCAGTCATCACGGAACTGAATGTTTTAGCACTTCTTGGATTGGAGTTCTTTCTCTGCTGTGACAGTTTAACCACAGTGTTTGCTCTGATGCTGGTAGCTCTGACCATTGAGTGGTTTCACAATCACTTTGTTTCCTGTTTGAGGTGTGAAGAAGACAGAATGTCGTTCAACACGTTCAAAGTATGATGCAGAATGTGAATGTGGTGGGGATTATCTGTACACAGTTTCTTGGTAACAGAATTACCCCTACATTTTGAACTACGGCATCAACCAATAGGCCAATGAGTAATAAGGCTCAAACTGATTTTGACCAACTAACACTATTAAAGTTCAAATACAACTACTGACACAAAAAGTTTGCCGTATAATTAGTATGTTTAATCAAACACTTCGAAGCGCAAGGCAAAACATTTCATATTAAAATATACAGAATCCAATTCAGTCCAAATCCAGTTCATCCCAAAACAATTCAATCATATGGTCAGTTTCAGGGTAGTTTTTATGTCCGTAGACATAAAAATTTGCCTGGCAACTAAAAGTGACAGTCTGCAGTCCTCAAACTCTAAGATGTGGGAAATGAGGATCTTTGTTGTAGTCAACCCTCAAGGAAACCAACAGGAGTTTCAGCCACAACTGGCAGAAAAACGGGATGCAAAAAAAACAACCCATAAATAACTTCAGCTGACATATCATAAATGTTTCAAGACCTACAGAAAGGAGGCACTAGTAGAAAAATAGGCTACATGATGGAGATGCCAGTGGAAAGCCATTATCACAAAGAAAAGCCATTGAAACATTGGGATTCTGTAGAAGAGAATAATCTGGTCAGATGAGGGCAGAACTGAAATTTTTTTTATATAATCTGGAGGAGACGGTCCTAAACACCCTCCCCAAAAAACACCATGCCAAAATTGAAGTCTACTGCTGGAAACACAATTGATGTGGCTGTCATTGTCACAGCAAAAGGTACTGGCAGACTTGCATAACTGAAGGATGAATTGAGAAATGTAGGATTTTATAAGAATCTAAAGATGACAACAGTGGGTCTTACCAAGTAAGATAATAGCCCCAAACATACAGCAACTTACCCTAACCCTAACCCTACCCACTACTGGCATAACCTAATCTAACATAACATAACATAACCCTAAACTGGAAAAAATGAGGAAAAACCATTTTTTCCCTGTTGTATGAAATTACAATCTATTATTTAAGATTATATGAAGAATATAGAAATTATTCCAAATCTTTGCTTGACTAAGCATTTATAAAATGACTCAGACTCTCAAAAAGATGCGTGACTAATCAAAAACACCCTCGGTTGGTGACTCCTATTTGTGCCTGAAAAAGTCAGGTATGAAGACACCAAAACTGCAAACATGCAAAATGGTGAAATGACTGACAGGGTTTATGTAAAACATGTGCCACTATGTAGGCAAGTCATTTTGTTAGTTGAGATTCCTCTTGAGGTTTTGATCAGAAGTGTGTTTGTGCCGTTACCAGGCTCGGGTCAGGATGGTCTTGGCTTATCTTTTCGCCCAGCTGAGTTTGTGGGCTCGTGGTAGGCCTGGAGGACTGCTGGTTTTGGGCTCAGCCAACGTCGATGAGAGGTACTATTACAAATGACTGGAATGGTTGGTACTTCATAGACCTTTGGTTTACTGCACATAATTTGTATTGTGGCCTGCAAAGTTTATATGCACACAAATAATCCAGATTATATTCATCTGATAATGCCAGTGGCATAAATGAATCTGTTGCTGTAAGTGATACAAAAATCGGATGCAAAATGGTGAAACTAAATCTCTTGTTAGATTTAGGTTCTTGGTTCCAAAAGGTAACATGTAATTATTTGGACAAAAATGGGTTCCCTATTTAAAGTTCTTGTAGACATTAATACAGAAAGATTGTACACAACCAAGCTGTTAAAGCGACTCTGACAAAAGGTAGGAACAGAACTGTAGTTTCCTCAGGGCTTTAACCTGTTTAAATAGAAAAAACATATCAATCTATTAATAAACAAATCTCCTGGGATATTAAATAGACAACTGTTCTGTAATCATTAAGTTTCCCCCTAATAATTCTGTTTCCAGAAATTCCTCTTAGCATGGAAACATTTTAGATCAGCTGTGCATGCACTGCAAAATCACAAAATCTTACCAAGTATCTAGTTTCTAGTGCAAATATCTTAAGTACACTTTAAATAAGACAAAACTAATTTACAAGCAACAGCATACAGAAACTTGTTTTAAATAAATAATTCCTTAATATTTATGAAAAAGTACTACTTCCACTGGCAGATTATTTCACTTGTAACATGGGAAAAATGCTGTTTTTCCCCGTGTTAAATAATTTCTCCTGCTCAGCCTTACAGGATATTTCACCAAGTATGACTGTTCCAGTGCAGACATAAACCCCATTGGTGGAATCAGCAAGATGGATTTGAAGAGCTTCCTTGCTTACTGTGCAGAGCAGTTCCAGCTTACCGCTTTGAAAGGGTGAGAGGAGTTCAGGACTCTGCTTTAAAGAAGATTTCACTTAAAAAAACAAACAAAAAAAAAAAAAAAACAAGGACCTGTCAGGAATGTGTATGCATCGTCCTCTGTGTGTCTCAGTTTGTGTACGTGTTTTTTGTGCTGTGCAGCATCCTGGCTGCTCCCCCCACTGCTGAACTGGAGCCTCTGAAGGACGGACAGCTGTCCCAGACAGATGAGGTAGAGACTGACGCTCGCAGGCACATGAACTGTTTGTTGGTGTGTGTATATGAAATGTTGGTAAGTTACTCCCATAGACTAGAAACTAAACTGTATTGCTGACGACGTGTCCCTCTGAAACCTGTGCTCAGATTTCTTTGGGTTGTGTGTAACCTGTGTAGTTGCTGACATTCATCAAACACTGCATGTTTGTAAATGCCAGAAAAATTAAACATAAACCAGTTATAATCCGATAACCATCTGCTTACCAGCTGGGAACTCACTGCAGGACCTTGTTTGGTCCTCAGCAATTACTTCTTTAACTGAACAAAGCAAAAGAAGATTTGTGCAATGTTGTGGGAAATGCAGATTAATCAATCACTGCCAGTCTATCCACCCTTCGTCTCTCCAATCACATTAGATTAAATGTCCATAATATCTTCTGTCTGCTTAGATTTTACTGGAAATCCAATTTGAAAGACCTCCATCACAAGTCTTGCTGATGTGGTTTAAATGTGTGATATTCTTGTTTCTTCTCTTTCTTCAGTCAGACATGGGAATGATGTATTCTGAGTTATCAGTGATTGGAAGGCTGCGGAAGATCTCAAAGTGTGGACCCTTCAGTATGTTCTGTAAGCTCATTCATCTGTGGAGGGATGTCCTTTCACCTACTCAGGTTAGTTGGCTACTAATCTGGTTAGTGTGCACACTGCACAACACAAGGGATCTGAAAGCACTGTTATATTACAGTAATTTCTTTGTCCAATTTCAGTTTAATTTGCATCAACCAAATAGCAGGATGCAAAAATGATGAATTCCCAATGTTGAATTTTAACAAAACATGAAGTTTAACAGAAAACCTTGCTGAAAATGAGGCTAGGGCATCTATCTGGTGAATATCTGAGTCAGCAGATGTCAGAGGGGTCATAAGGACAGACAGACAACAAAAACAAACCTCAAATTCCATATCACATTTCAGACATCTAAAGGTATGAACCCTGGATGAACCTTTCTAGTTTTTAACATTTTTAAGTTATTTTGTTCATTTGTTTAGGTTTTTGTGTCGTTGCATTAGCATTAGTGTTTACTTTACTAGATTACAAGAAAATCTGACTCCTGAAATCTTCAGGGTTTCTTTAATCTCATAAGCTCCTGGAAGGCATTCTGCATCAGTTTGGCTCCTCTGTGCTCTGGACTCGAACAGCTGCTTGTTTGTGCAGGTGGCCCAGAAGGTGAAACACTTCTTCAGGATGTACTCGGTGAACCGCCACAAGATGACCACAGTTACTCCTTCCTACCATGCTGAGAGCTACAGTCCTGATGACAATCGCTTTGACCTTCGACCTTTCCTCTACAACACACACTGGAACTGGCAGTTCCAGTGTATTGATAACCAGGTAACGCACCACGATGACCTTCTTATAGAAGAGTGAAGATAACTTTTGCTAGAGTGTCGAGGGCCACATATGAACAAGTTGCCTAGCGACCTGTGTGTCAGTGTGTGAATATAGCTCTAAAGTGCTTTGAGTGGTTAATGAGTACAAAAGCTCTATATAAAGTCAGTGCATTTAACATGAGTCCATTTGACTGTCCTGCTTACACAATAGTGTCCAGAGTAATCTTATCTTTAGGTGTGTTTTCCTCTTTCCCTCTTTCTGCAGATTTCCCAGATGCCGGCAAGCCCAGACAACGGGGACCAAGGAAGGCTTGAAGAGTAGCAAAACCCCACAGTCCTGTTCTCTCTGTCCAGGGTGTGTTTGCATCTCTGCAGTGGCTCAAATCCAGAACAACCTCCAGCTGTTTCCAAAGTTCAGGAGCTCACCATGCCCGAAAACATTAAAAATGTGTTAAACATTTTAATGACAAATGTCATTGGATTTTCAGAGATATATCCTGCTTACTTCTGTTCTGAACCAAAGCACTGCCACCAGACAGCTAACTATAAAGACTCGGGTAGCCTTTGCATCTGGTATCCATCAGTGTCTTCCATGTTAGCAGACACAGACCCACGTCAGGTTATGGTTCTGAAGCATTTTCTATATCTTAAACTGTTATTACTCAGATGCTACCGCAGCTTAGATTCATCCCACTGTTATCTTGTTGATTTTTTTCAGCTATACAACTCTTGATGAGCTTTAGTAATGCAGCATAACGTACTGCATTATTGATGTAATTATTCTGAAATTATGCTTTTTATTTACAACTGAAATTAAAGTTACAGTTACCACTGATGGAAACCTTCTGCATTCTCCCTCTGCTGCACTCAGAATTGTTGGTTTGAGCCGTTCTAGTTCCACTTTTCCATTGACTGATGCTTTGATGTGTGCCTTTGGTTATAACCCAATCCAATGAGCAACATTAACGCATTGATCATTTGACTGTATTGTTTTCTTTTCTCATGCGGGAGCCTGTGCTTCTGCTGTTCTGTGTAAATTCTCTGTAGGGAATATTAATGGTGCACTGTGCAAAAGAACCGGAAGGTAATATTATGTAAATAGTTCATTTTCTGACATACTAGCATCAACTCTCTGTTAATGTTAAGTTTATTTAGGACACGTATGAAAAATATAAAATCACGAAGTTTATCTAGAATCTAAAAATAAAACTAAACCATCCCAACAGAAACCTTACAGCACATGTGTCAAACTCAAGGCCTGCGGGCCACATGTGGCCCGC